ACATATGATATATCATAACCGATGGAAACAACAAAGAGAGTGAAATGTCAGTAGGGAGGAAGGCTTGACAGTCATTTGTGACATTGTCCTTTACTCTTACGTTTGTGCTGTGTTCTCCAAGAAATGTTGTCTTTCAAGTTTAACGGAGCTCCATATTGTACTTGTGAAATGAAAATATATTAATATGAGTGAGTGAGTGAGTCTAGTTTTACGCTGCACTCAGCAATATTCCAGCTCTGTTGCGGCAGTCTGTAAATAATCGGGTCTGGACCAGACAATCCAGTGATCAACAGCATGAGCATCGATCTGTGCAATTGGGAAGCAATGACATGTGTCAACCAAGTCAGCTAGCTTCACCACCCGATCCCGTTAGTCGCCTCTTACGACAAGCATGGTTACTGAAGATCAATATTCTAACCCGGACCTTCACGGGTCTATATTAGTATGAAAATTTATTATGTGAAATTATGTTTTTTTGTCTCATAAGAAATAGATAATTCACACAAGTATCAACTGACTAATTTGTACCCAAGTCATAGTTCTTACCCAAGTCATACAAATGACCTACTGTCAGGTAATGTGGTAGCCACGTCAAGATGCTGTACATTATTTGATTGTATTCATCGTTCTTGTCACCTGTCACTCCAGCTGAAGCTGCATCAAACAAGATGGAGATACACTGACATGGATACTGTAATTAGCAGTTCAACTTCAAGGGATGTCGCTGTAACCACATTCATACCCAGTCAAACTTAATTAGGCTGTTTTCTTGTGGTGTACGGATAAAGACAACAATTTGATCTTATAATGTTACTGTCACCATTAAATGGTTAATCACATGCAATTTGATTTGCATTGGGCATTTGCAAGGCAGTTTGAGTAATTAAGTTAGATTGTTTGATCTTTTAGAAGTTGGTAAGTCAAAAATGAAACATACATTTTATTGATGGCAGCGTGAACTTCTTGTTTATTGCAAAGAGTGATGTTACGATGAAGATTCTTACATCGTTATCGGGCGGTGGGGTAGCCTAGTGGTTAAAGCGTTGTCTCGTCACGCCGAAGACCCGGGTTCGAATCCCCACATGGGTACAATGTGTGAAGCCCATTTCTGGTGTCCCCCGCCGTGATGTTGCTGGAATATTGCTAAAAGCGGCGTAAAACCAAACTCAGTCAGTCAGTCAGTACATCGTTATCAAGCTCAAAGTAAGAATCTACATCCAAACTTGGCTCTATGCAATAAACAAGAAGTTGTCATCCATAAAGTTGTGCTTCATTTTCAAATAAACTTAGACTCAGAGGATGGATATGAGATGCAGTAAAATAATGGACGACTATGGTGGTGGTACAAGCTATGGAACTAATCCAAAACTGGAACCAGTTGTAGGGGTTGGTATGTTCCCCAGGGAGCTGAGTTTGATTTGTCCTGTTGCCGGGGGTAACAATGTCCTGTGCTTGCTTCTTCAGGACATTAATTCGGGTGTGGAAATTAATTTTGATTGCATGCCAAATATGTGAAAATATCCGAAACAAATTCTTCCTCAAAACATAATATTAGTAATCAACACAGAGGTACTATCCCTACCACCTTGATGTTTCCCAGCAACCAAAACTTCCCATTCTCTGTCAACCAAGAATCACAGTTTGTTAAAGACACAAGTCTCCCATGTGTGTAGACCCCAAGTATCCTACTGTTAGTGACACAGTTGCCCATCACTTTCAGCACAAAAGCCTCATTGCTGGCAGTACAAGGTTACCATGGCTACCAATCAGTTTTTCAAATTCATTATCAGTATTACTCAATGTGATAGTTACCAAGAAAACATTTATTGTAGACAAAAAATGACCCCTGCGCTTTTTGACAAGACAAGATCATGTGACATCACCTACGTCACTAATTGTGGCCATCTTGGTTTTTGTCTGAACTGTGACTTTATAATCTCAACTTACAGCGTTTCACTTTCAGAAATCTCACACCATTTGTTACCAGCTGACCATCTAATTGTGTTGTAGTAGTAGTAGAGGGGGGGGGTTTGCCGCACATGCGGCTTAGAGACTTATTTGTGTGAAATAAGTTCCCCAGCCCCCCTTAAAAACGGCGATTTTCATGGACCATACGGGGTTTATCCCCTCCTTCGAGTTCACCAAGCTGGTACAGATACCTCACGACGACCCAGTCCGGTGGCTTTTTGTCTTGGCCGTGATGTGATGGCGCAGCCGATTCAATCGTCATGGATTCCATTCGAATGGCTTCGACGGGTCTTTTATTGAGGAGTCGAGTGGCTTCGTTGTTGATCGCCAACACCACTCGCGGTAAGCTACGACCCATTCCGTCGATCATTTTTCTGGGTTGACCATCTCTCGAGCATACTGATGTCCGAACAAACGCTCGGCTAAAGTCCTGTAGAATCTTTCGACGATGGCTTGGCTTCGGTGAGCTCCGGCCACGCCTCATCTCACCTGGACTTTATGCTTCGATAACAGCTGCGACACGGCTCCCATGAACTCGCGTCCGGGATCGACTTGCAATACGGCAGGCCAGGTCAAGCGACTGCGTTTGTAAATGCGTTCTAAGGCCTTAGCGACTTGACTCGAATCTTTGGTCGTTAACGGCTCCGCTTCCTTGTAGCGACTGGCAACGTCCACGACGGTCAGGGCATACTTGTACATTTTGTTTCTCACCCTGTCGTGCGGGAGCAACAGGAGGTCGGCTTGATGGGTACGATTGGGTATGGAAATGTCAAACTTTCTTCTCGGGATGTATCAGGGAGCCGGCAGGTACACTTGCCAGTTAGCTTGTATTTTAAGCCAAGCTTTGGCGGTATCCTTTGAGACGCGAGCGGCTCTGGCTAGCTTCGGGATGGCGCTCACACCTTTCCAGTAACCCCGAGGCTGTAGTAAACCTTCTCCATGATGTATGTCATTCACGCTATTATCCATTCAATAGTCTGTCTAGACCTTGACGCATAGAGTGGAGTTTCCTTTATTGGGGGTCTCGGAAACTCCCAACGTGTCGAGGCCTACTGTTGGTATCCATAGCTATAAGTGTGGATGCCATTGTTCGCAATCCATCGTTTGGTATCCATGGGCGACAGCGAGGTCTTGTTGAGAGTGATGCTGTAGATGTTGTGTTTGTCGCTTCTCAACGCGTTCATGGGGTGTTTGAGCGTGCGTTTATTGAAGAGAGCCTGTTTGAAGAGGGTGTGTTTGATGTGTCGTTTCATGTGTCCTATTTCTTGACCCCTTTCGCCTTTCGTCATGATCAGCTTTTTGAATGGAGCACATTTTAGTCCTTAACCCAACGTATTCAGCGATGGGTGTGCCCGCGCATTCGTCCTTCATCTTGCCGAGGACCTTTTTATTGGTCGTGCTGTGTAGGGCGTGGTCTGGGGGTGATCGCTGGTGTCATACAAGTGGCTGTGTTTCGCTATGTTGTCGTACACGTCCTCGGTGCGTATATTCAACAACAAGGAATCGGTGTTGGTGTACAGCAGCTCGCACCGATCGCCGTACTGTGGCTTGAGTCGGTTGTAATAAAAGTCGTACATCAAATGTTTGGACAGGTCGAGGATGCTCATCCCCACGTAGACGGGTCGGTTGAGCTTAATATGGCTTTTGTTCATGTGTAGCACTGCCAAGTCATTATTGAATAGCTTGCTCCAGTTGAATGCCGGGCTGGCGATCAGTTTCCTGAGTTTTTCTTCCTCGTGAGATCGCATGAGTTTTACGTTGACGCATTTCCTCAAGATTTCCATGGTTTTGCCGAATACCGAATTGTTCATGAGTTTGTAGAGGTTTTTCTTGAAGTCCCTGGTGGTCTGTTTTCGCAGTTCGGTGTTCAACCGAATGTAAGGTTCCATCCAGGGACTTTGATCGAATTGCAGCACCCGATGTATTTTGGTCAGCTTCATGCCCAGCGACAAGTACAGTTGCAGATTCTGATAGTGCACCACGTACTTGGTCTTGTGCATCAAATTCACAACGAGTTTTTCCACGTTGGTCAGCTTATTTTTCCCGAGCAACGCTAATCCGACATCCAGTCTCGGTTCACCGTTAACCGTTCGGGAGCCAGCGGATAGCTATTGTGAGCAGCGTGGAGTTCCGCGGGATAGTCCAAGTCCACTTCGAGGATGTAGCCTTTGTTCGAATCCAGCGTGATGCTCATGATATCGATCTCGTCGTTGTCCAACCATTCATCCCCCTGTGGGTAGAGACTGACTCATGGCCCAGCTGTACAGGTTGTTGGGGTCGAGATACAGGAGGTGGTTGGTGGGCTTGCTCGAATCGTAGCTTTCCACGTATTGGTTGTTGGCTTAGGGAGAGCAGCCAGGCAACAGCTACTGTTTAGATTTTAACATTGCTATAGCGGCCATGTTGTTTGGCTTAGCAACGACGGGTCTGGCAGGCACGACGTTACTAGGCTCGACCGCCATCTTTGGTTTGGCTTAGCAACGATGGGTCTGGCAGGCACGGCGTTGCTTAGCTCGGCAGCCATCTTTGGTTTGGCTTAGCAACGATGGGTCTGGCAGGCACGGCGTTACTAGGCTGGACGACCATCTTTGTTTGGCTTAGCAACGACGGGTCTGGCAGGCACGGCGTTACTAGGCTGGACGACCATCTTTGTTTTAGCTTAGCAACGACGGTCCTATCTTGTTTCACCTGCAAAAGTTTCCACTGATACCCCGTCTCGAACTCGCGTCGCTGGATTACAAGTCCTACGCTCTACCATCACACCACCAGGACTGCCGATCAGTCAATATTCGGAACATTGGGTCTAGGCTGGAGGCACATCGAAGGATGCCTCTCGATAGACCACCGCTGTTTTTAAGGGGGTCTGGGGAACTTATTTCATAAAAATAAGCCTCTTAGCCGCATGTGCGGCAAACCCCCCCTCTACTACTACTGTTGTCTTGTGTTTCACTTTCAGAAATGTGGCATATTTGTTTATATCTCACACCATTTGTTATCAACAGACCATCTAATTGTGTTGTCTTGTGTTTCAGTTATTCTTCCCCGCCTGGCAGCAATGGCGATGGCCAACAATAACGTGACCAATGAGACGAAGAAGATGGACATCGCCATGCAGCTGTTTGAAGCCTACAGTGCCATGTCTTGTTGTTGTATCCTACACCATGTGGCCCCCCTGGGAATCTGGGCCTGCAGTAATGGTTGTTAGATGTGATGGATGAAGTGGTTAGGTTCAGTGACTGGTGGTTTCATCCTAATCCCCCTGTGGACGGGATGGTTTACTCACTGTATCAGTCAGATGACGGTCTGGTCAAGGCTGTTGTCCTGTAGCTTCATGTTACTGAGTGAAGCATTAAGCAACATGTAATGTCTGCAGGCTCTTTCCTCCAGGTTCCGACTTAGTTGCAATATGCCTTTAATTGTGAGTCAATGTATTGCAGCTATAACCAACACAGTCTCTGAGGCTGATTATCTGATATCCTGACCGCCTCTTTCAGTGCATCAGTTAAGAATAGGTTACAGGAGACCAACTGTGTAACATAAAATCACATAAGACATGTCACTCTGTTTTATTATGTATGTCAAGGGCGGTGGGGTAGCCTAGTGGTTAAAGCGTTGGCTCGTCACGCCAAAGACACGGGTTCGAATCCCCACATGGGTACAATGTGTGAAGCCCATTTCTGGTGTCCCTCCGTGATGTTGCTGGAATATTGCTAAAAGCGGCGTAAAACCAAACTCAGTCAGTCAGTCAGTATTATGTATGTCAACTCTTCACTCTCCTTTTTTTCTTTTGTGAGTTGATCTGTTTATGGACTGGCTACTGGTGTAGTGGATAGAGTGTCTGTTCAGAGATCACATGGTCAGTGGTTTGATTCAGACCAAAAGATTATACAGAAACATTTGCACGTGATAAACCACTTCTGCCAGTGTTCAGTTACTCATATAAGCTTGGGACATGGGTGGCACTTTCTTTGCTGTACAGAGTTGCCTCCCTGAAAGCTTGTCAGGATCCGATGATCACTGGTTATTTTCCCTGATTATGATCCTTGGTTTTAGAGGAGAATACACACACGCACTCAACCACTCACTCACTCACTCCACAATGTTGTTACCACCATAATCCTATATGTTTCTGTATAGCCCGTGTTTTATACTGTATTGTCCTCTTTAATTGAAGTGTTTTAGCTTTGCTCGCTAGTTTTATTCATATATGTGATTCTCAAGTATTTTTACTGTCCATTGTCGACAGGTTCTAATCTTCCAAATGTTTTCTCTTTATATTGTATAAATTGTTTTCGTCACGATATGGCTGCGATATTGCCAATGTGACGTTAAAAATTAACTCACTCACTCACCTATATGTTTCTGGATTTCTCTGAAGTGGTAAAGGTTTATGCCTTGTGTCACTTTTGACTTAATCAATCAATCAACCTTCACTCACTCACTCCACAGTTGTTATTACCTCCTTAACTCCCAGCAGTCCTCAATGACCAGCTCATCCAGGAGGCCATGTTGCCCGGTCTCCGATGTCTTCGGCAGGACATGGCCATCATCGCACCTGACCACGAGGAAGTCGTTGCATCCATGGTCCGCGACTACGAGTCCAAGATGGAGGGAGCTCGTCCCGGGGACAGGTACTATAATGCAATTCATCTTGCTCACAGGTGGATGAAACTAGGTGACCATTCATACTTCACTGGGAATGTTCCTGGTACCATGATTTGAATGTAATGTGGTTCACATTCACAGTGTTCTTGTTCTTATGTGCATTCAGTTTCAAGAAACATTAAGGCTCTGTCTTTAATATGATGTGGACTTGAGTACCCAACACTTTGCCTTCAACTTTACACATCAGAGTATGTCTAGACACTCTACCACCATGTCTGCCGCAAACATGAGCGACATGAAGATGTGAGTTATCTCCCCTGGTCAGTTACTCAAGTCCTTGACAATGGCTTTGTCTCCAACCCTCCAACCTTCCTACAAGGCTTGATGTGTTTGTGTTTCAGGAGCCTGGGCTTCTCCTCGTCACCAGGGAATCAGCTGGGTTCAGCAGCAGACGATATGAAGTCCAGGGTCATGTCACGCATCAAGGACACCACATCCAAGGCCAATATCTCCAACATATTCACACGCAGGAAGTGATGTCACGGGCACCCTGCAGGTCCGCAGCAATCATTCACATGTAAACTTCTGTGTGTGGCGCACCAATGACATTCAAAATGGCAGCATATGATGCTCAGCCACAGTTGATATATGTACACTTAGACCTTGAGAAAACACATCAGATCTTACAGGTATATTTTAGGAATATTTTAATGCAACAAATGAGTAAAGTTTTCTTTGAAGGAAATGTCTTATTTGGTCTGAGTTGAGATAGAGGCTGTTAGTTGCAGATGCCTAGAAATAGTTTAATGTTAAGATTGTTTTAATGACAGTGCAGCAAATTTCAAACTGTACATGTGATTTCTGTTCAAACTGTCCTGTACAGACTGGAATGTGTTAACATCTCAAATAAATTATAATTGTAAATATGTTAGTGGTGAGAAACATGGAAACACATTTGTCCAATACAAGTCTGTGTCTGCCTTGTATTGAACTGTAGCTTGTAACAGCCCAGTTATCAATACTGCCCGACTTGTCTGACATCATCCCAGTTTTATCCTTGTATAAGCCATGTATCAACCTTAAGTAAGCCCAGTTTCAAGTATCAGAAATGAGCCTCATATCAACCAAGTATCAACCTTCTGTCTGCCTCTTTAAAGTGTTTTAGTTGAAGCCATCTAATAGTCCTGTAACAGCCTTGATAATTCCAATATCAGTACTGTGTTAATGCTTAAAGAAGTGCTGTATCACCTATGTAAGCCCTGTGTCAGTCTGGTACCAGTTCCGTTTCTGGTGTCCCCCACCATGATATTCCTGGAATATTGCTGAAAACGACCTAAAACCCAACTCACTGACTCACTCTAGTACCAGTTCAGTGTCAGGTATGAGCCCAGTTAAAGCCACGTGTAAGCCCATGTGTCAACCTTGTATAGGCCCAGTGTCAGTCTTGTATCAGCTGTCTCACCATCCCCCAGACATTCCAGCTGATATCGTCTGTGTTATATATACTCTGTATCAGTCCTGGTATTAAACTGTAATCAGTCCATAGCTCCTGTATCGATGAGGTATGAGTCCAGTATCACCCAAGTAGCATCCATATTGGTACATATACACACTGTCAATATATATATGATATCCCCCAGTGAGGTATAAGTCCAGTATCACCCAAGTAGCATCCAGGTTGGTACATATACACACTGTCAATATATATATGATATCCCCCCAGTGAGGTATAAGTCCAGTATCACCCAAGTAGCATCCAGGTTGGTACATATACACACTGTCAATATATATATGATATCCCCCAGTGAGGTATAAGTCCAGTATCACCCAAGTAGCATCCAGGTTGGTACATATACACACTGTCAATATATATATGATATCCCCCAGTGAGGTATAAGTCCAGTATCACCCAAGTAGCATCCAGGTTGGTACATAGACACACTGTCAATATATATATATATGATATCCCCAGTGAGGTATGAGTCCAGTATCACCCAAGTAGCATCCAGGTTGGTACATATACACACTGTCAATATATATATGATATCCCCCCAGTGAGGTATAAGTCCAGTATCACCCAAGTAGCATCCAGGTTGGTACATAGACACACTGTCAATATATATATATATATATCCCCCCAGTGAGGTATAAGTCCAGTATCACCCAAGTAGCATCCAGGTTGGTACATAGACACACTGTCAATATATATATATATATGATATCCCCAGTGAGGTATAAGTCCAGTATCACCCAAGTAGCATCCAGGTTGGTACATATACACACTGTCAATATATATATGATATCCCCAGTGAGGTATAAGTCCAGTATCACCCAAGTAGCATCCAGGTTGGTACATAGACACACTGTCAATATATATATATATGATATCCCCCAGTGAGGTATAAGCCCAGTATCACCCAAGTAGCATCCAGGTTGGTACATAGACACACTGTCAATATATATATATATATATCCCCAGTGAGGTATAAGTCAAGTATCACCCAAGTAGCATCCAGGTTGGTACATCGACACACTGTCAATATATATATGATATCCCCAGTGAGGTATAAGCCCAGTATCACCCAAGTAGCATCCAGGTTGGTACATAGACACACTGTCAATATATATATGATATCCACCAGTGAGGGTATAAGTCCAGTATCACCCAAGTAGCATCCAGGTTGGTACATAGACACACTGTCAATATATATATGATATCCCCCAGTGAGGTATAAGTCCAGTATCACCCAAGTAGCATCCAGGTTGGTACATATACACACTGTCAATATACATATGATATCCCCCAGTGAGGTATAAGTCCAGTATCACCCAAGTAGCATCCATATTGGTACATATACACACTGTCAATATATATATGATATCCCCCAGTGAGGTATAAGTCCAGTATCACCCAAGTAGCATCCAGGTTGGTACATATACACACTGTCAATATACATATGATATCCCCCAGTGAGGTATAAGTCCAGTATCACCCAAGTAGCATCCAGGTTGGTACATAGTCACACTGTCTATATATATATATGATATCCCCCAGCAGATGTTTATGATACAACAACAATGTACGTGCAATATTGTGACACTGTATTATGACATCCCCTGTAATATATTTATACATCTGAATTGATGTTGTCTGTCCTGCTGATCAATTGTAGATATATTGCATGTTATATATAAGTTTTGTAATGGAAGATGAAGATGAACGGCTCCTAGCCTGTACAGTTTGTTTCCAGCAGATCCTGGCCATAACAAGAATGGAGACTGTGTGTGGTCATTCCAAATATAGCTTCATGTTTTATATAGCTTACATTAATTAATATCTAATATATTGTGTCAATGTGTTTGGTGCCTGAGTAGAACACCTGGTGTTCCTTGCATTGTGGCTGTATTTGCAGGTTTGTGTGAGTGTGTAGAGACAGCTGGAGCCTTGGCTTTCTGTTGTCTGTTTTACACATTGAAACTTGATCTCATTTACTGTCAAACTTCAAAATGTCTGTAGTTAATATGCCATGTTGGTCCTTGTTACAGTTGAGCTGTCTGATGTTAGTCAAGTCATGATGTGCTTGTATTCTAAACAAGTCCTCTACCCCTTACTGATCTTGTGCCCTCTACCTTCACCAGCTGCCCTGCCCCTACCAGTCACCCATCCACTGCCAGCGTCAATGATTACCTCGCCTACCACCCCAGAACCAAACACAACCACCCCAACACCCCCCAAACACCACACCCCTAGGACTCCCAACACCACCCTAACATCACCTCAACACCATCCTACCCTGACTAATTAATTTTATGAAGCCCCCCATCCAGTACCAGCAGCAAAGACACACTCCCAACAGGACTCCCAACACCAGTCTAGCACCACCCCCAACACCACCCCAACATCACCCCCAGGACTTCCAACACCTCCCCATCACCACCCTACACATCTGCAACCTTCCCTACCCTGACTGATTAATTTTATGAAGTCGAACATGACAAAGATCTGTGTGTGATGACATTGTGTTGTTTTCTAGTCCCCATCTTCACGGACCTCCCAGTCAGGAGAGTGACCCATCTTCTGTGTATTACCAACTATAGATTGTTACATGTCAATCTTGTCATCTTTTTATCAGTTCTGTATCAGTCCACGTGTATCAGATCTGTATCAACCCCTTTATCAGTTTCATTGCTGTGCTGAAAACTGAAGTATACTGATGAAATGAAATAAAGGAACATGTAGAAAACTTAGATGAGAAGAATGTCGACAGCTGGTTGCAATCATAGAGCATCAGAGAGACTTTGTTTACAGGTTGTGTGTAGAACACATTGAAATGTTCAGCGTTGCCAGAATGAAACACTATGCACATTTATGAGACTTAATCCATTAAATTGAATTGTTCTGTGTTATGAAATTAGTTTATAATCTCAACAGATTGTTTTGTTTAGGACTGTGTATGGCAATTTCTAGTGTACAATTATGTCCCTTTTTTATTCTAGGATATGCTGATGTCGTGAACTTGATTATTATCAGTGAGAACCATACTGATATTTTAGCAGTTCTCCAAAACAGCCGACTTCCACAAATTGTTTTCCCTCCCACTTGAGTATCATCATTACTTTATAAATGGGAGGTCACAGGTTTCCCAGCTGTCTTAGGTGCAGCAATAACTCGGCAGAGTGGTCTCCCTTCAGCACGCCAGAAATATTCAGTCTTGAGTTCAAATTCCAAGTTTGCCATGATATTGTCTCAAGGATTGTCCCCATACCCATGCTCATGGGTTTTACAAAAGTGGTAAACATCTTGGACCTTCACACTTTCTCCCAACATTCAACAGACACTGAAATACTGTTAGAAATGGGTGTTAAATCAAACTCACTCACTGACTCACTGTAACGTATGTTATATTTGGGATTACTCTTTTACATTTGACCACCTTCTAAATGGCATTGTGTGTTTATCACTCACTCACTCACAAGATGAATGTGTTCAGGGACTATGAAAGATGCCTTGTGAAACAAATTGTTACCTGTTCCCTTATTTCTTTCCATCAGTATTGTACGTTTCTGTGCTACTCAAAATATGTTAAAAAACTCCCACTTTTGTCATAGACTTGAGTTAATCTGTCAAAGCCACGATACATTACCTGTAGTTGTATGGAAAAACCCAGGGGTTCCTTAACTTGTTTTGAGTAGTATAAGTGACTTCTGTCATGATTATCAGGGCTGTCACCAGTGTATGAAATAAGCCAAAAACCCAGCCAGACATCTGGGCTGGTAACTTCAAAAACCTACCAGCCCAGAAGAGATTTAACCAGTCAGTGCCAGTGGGCATGTTATCGGAATATATTTTTTTCACCCGTCCATCGGGCTGGCTAGCTGTAAAATTAGACCGTCCGGCAGAAATCTAGCCCGTCTCGGGCGGTCGGACGGGCCTTATTTCATACACTGCTGTCACTATGCAGGTGTTCCACTGTTCGGATGTTGTGACGAACACGGATTGCAGCTTCTAAGGACTCCGAGATGGGAAGTGAAAACAGTCGTCAAGGTTGTCATAATTCCATTATGTATCAGTTTCCTGAAACACCTGGCAGCCTGGGTTGTCCTCATTCCTTACTGTTTTACTCAGAGATAAAAAGGAAGTTGATCAAAGCAGGTGAAACAGAAGGTGACAGGAAGCTGATCTTTTATGTAAGTTTGCGTCACAATGAGTCTGAGACAAACGGCGGAGCTTGACAAGATCCTTTGATCCTGAACTTCGTCATGTGGCATGGCTGTCATGTCTGTGGTCAGTACTGGTCAGACTCAGTGTTCCAGTTACACAACATACCTGCAGAAATTCCCAGTACTGTTGAGATGTATGTACATATTTTAGACATGTATAATGGCCTGAGTTGAGGAGATATTTTAACAAATGCTTGTTGTTTGAATGTGATTATTTTAGACATTGTTATTATTGTTAATATCTAGACATATCATGTGTAAAGATTGTAGATGTTGCTGTTGTCGGGTAAATAATGTGACATATCATTTTAAGGCTAAATGATGGATTAAATAATTTATTGAAAATGAGAACTTTTCTTTCCAAGAATGCAGGTGAGTGCAGGGTGACACTATGCACATATTTCATGCAGTATGCCTTTAGACAACTACAGGACTGTGGTAATTAAAAATGTTGATAATTTTTAGACCAAAAGTGAGGAATTATTATATGAGAGAACATGAGTGTTCAAACAGGAACTTCAGGACACTTAGAAAGTACAAGAACAGTTGGTTTCAAGCAAGTAACATGCTATGTTAATAATTAAATTATTACAATGAGTGACAGACTTTAAGAATCCTCAACCTGAGCTGAACACACAGGTGGTGTTACATTTGCCAGATGGAGTAGCCTCCCTTTAGTCACTTCTGCAACAGTTGGCAGACGGCTTGACAACGAGTGAGTGAGGTTGTTGTGTTGATCTGATAAACGTTGGGTTTAAAACTTGAGAAAAGGAAAATTGTTTGTTGGGTGGAGAAATGTGATGATAAGATGACAAGAGTCACTTGCAAACTCGACCTTCAACTGTCTGAACATTGACATTCAAACAACTGAGATTTGCACCCTCCTGCCATGATTGATGCAGGGAGTAGAGAATGCAGTGTGGTAGTAGTAGAAAATGTATGTAAAAATGCAGTGTGACAGTTCTTCACTGTGTTAGGACAGTACAAGAACATATTAGTTCAGTGGTTGATGGTGAATGTTTATAACGACCCATGAAAGACTAATAAAACCTCACTCACTCATTGTTTGAATTAGGTTCATCAAAGGATATACTTGTATATACTGTACTACAAGTGTGTGTGTGTATGAGTGCGGTTTGTGTGTGTGAATATTTCTTGTGTGTGGTTTTTATCGTTGGCGTGATATTGTAGCCACACTTGCATATATATGTCGTATTGTGTCATGTGTTGTGTATCCCAGTAATATACAGACCGTAATCTCATGGCTACAATGAGGATAACAGTGTTGTACATATTTTCTCCAATATTTAATCATTCGCTTATACATTGTTGATTTTATATAACCCACCATAATACTGCTCTAGACCCTCCATCATTCCTTAATGCTAAACTCCCTGGCAAAAAGAAAGAATTCACCTGAAAATTGGATGTGACTTAAAAATATTATCAAAACCTTACTAGGGTGAAAACAGTTTCCAAACCACAACTAGGATACCGCCGGTATGTAATACATCCCCATTGAAAAATCCTTTCTTGTATTTTACATCTTTCATACCGTCACACATGGCTGTATTCTTTCTTTAGCCAGGCAGATAGTAAACCAGCATACACTACACAGAGATGTGATAATGTGGTGGAAGTCAAGGACGTACCACCATTGATGATCTGTGTCCGTATCTAACCTCTCTCTAACAGTTTCTATGTGAAGTCTATAAATGGCATTTACAAGTGATACACATAAAAAGTGAGAATTTATGGATGTCAACTTCTTTATTTTGAAGAACACGACATGTTGTAGTATTTGCTTAATCCTTCATCAGGTGAATGGAAAACTAGGAAGCAGATAGCTATGTATGTACATGTGAAACAACAACAAATATAAGATACCAATTGTGGGAATTTAACAGTGAAAGGCAGTAGTTATTTGTTTCAGTTCTAATTTCTTCGCTTACTTTTTGAAATGTTTTTGTGTCTTGTTTTCTCACTGGTGAGAAACATGATTATGAAACATATGTATGATTTAACAGTGAAAGGCAGTAGTTATTTGTTTCAGTTCTAATTTCTTCGCTTACTTTATAAAATTTCTTTGTGTCTTGTTTTCTCACTGGTGAGAAACATGATTATGAAACATATGTATGATTTAACAGTGAAAGGCAGTAGTTATTTGTTTCAGTTCTAATTTCTTTGCTTACTTTTTAAAATTTCTTTGTGTTTTGTTTTCTCACTGGTCACTAGATCCCGACAATTTGCTTGTCAAAAGGCCAAAGACACGGGTTCGATTCCCCACATGTACAAGGTGTGAAGCCCAGCGTAAAACTAAATTCACTCACTCTCTCTTGTCAAAGGCTCTGCATCTCAATGTGTTAAAAGCCAAGAGGGTAGCACACAATAGTGAAAGCAGTGAAATATCATGCCTATTACATCACAGCTGACAGATTGGTCATTTTACATGATTTTGTCTATTTGAAATATGTTTTATTGCTTCTCTTTGTGAATTTCACTTCGTTTAGATCTTTTCACAATTGTCACAAACATGTTTTTAAGTCCCTTACATTGAAGATATCTGATGGTATGCCTTTCTAGAACTCAAGTTGGAGTGTTCTGGTGTCAGTGTGTTGCAAATATGAAGTGATGAAGATGAGATTTATAGATTAAAAGACAGTAGGTAAATATTGAATATAATGTCCCTACATTGTAACAAGGGCGGTGGGGTAGCCTAGTGGGTAAAGCGTTCGCTCGTCACGCTGAAGACCCGGGTTCGATTCCCCACATGGGTAAAATGTGTGAAGCCCATTTCTGGTGTCCCCCGCCGTGATATTGCTGGAATATTGCTAAAAGCGGCGGCGTAAAATCAAACTCACTCACTCACTCACATTGTAACATTATGCCACTTCATTAAGTTGGAATAAGAAATTAATATTTCTGAAAGATAAATACCTGTAATGTGTTATTAATGGTTCTTTTATGCAAATATATGAAATTGGTCAATTCCCTGGGTATGTGTTAGTATTGCTGGCCTATAGTGAATGAGTGCACCATGTCAGTAAGACAAGATTGAGCCTTTCTTGTTTCATATGAACCGTTCCATCAAATTATGTTGATTTGTAAAATACAACCTGAAAGGTAATTACAATCTCTGAATACAGGCCAGAGGGCATCCGTAATCCACTTTGTCTACAAATTATGTACCCAACATAGGTGGATCCAGAAATTTTCAAACCCCCTGAACCCCACCTTGGCTCCGCCATTGCAAAACATTAACTTCAATGTGGTCATTAGTCCTTTTCAAAAGGGGGGGTTCAAACCCCCTGATCTCCGGATCCGCCATTGCCCAATACCATGACTGTTTCACAAAATGATATGTGTACAATGGCGGCCAGGCAACATCTTTATTGTGGAACTTGTCAAAGGGATTATTGTAGGGTAAACAAATATCATCATCATCATCATCATCATCTTTATTTCATCCTTTTGGATATAGGTATATTACACATACAATTAAAGAAAACGTTAGTAGGTAAAAATAGAAAGTGTTATTTCAACTTCGTACAAGACAATATATTGTGGTGAGCACTTGCATTCAGATGGGCAGGCCAGAAGCCAGGCAACAGCTTTGTTATGGAACTTGTCATAGGGGTTATTTTAGGGTAAACAAGTTAGTTTATCAGAATATACCAACAATTGCATGAATATATGTAGAATGTCACAAAAATGGTATAAACTGTATTTTTTATTTTACTTTTGTTGTTCCTCAAGTTGTATAGGTCAGTGTCAGTTTTGAGGTCATTTTCTGGAGCATGAAACTTATCAACCTTTTCATGCCTGATGAAAAAACAAGACAAGTGTCCCATGTGTATAGTTTCTTATGCTGTACTGGAAAGCAGTGCGTTTTATAACAGCCCTGAACATGGGTATATAATGATAATCCTGCTGCCCTTGAACTCAATGTCTTTACACTCAGACAATGTGCTTTCAAGACACATTACATAATGCCTTGTTGTGTCTGTGATGTGTTGAGTCCAGCCCTGAACAGGCGTACATAATAATACATGCCTGTCGTTGCTATGTATGGTGTGGTGATAAAATATTTTGGACTAGAACTTGGACATGCACGAGTGACTGGTTTTGGCCGACATGAGACATCACTTATGGATTCTTTTGTTGGAACATAAGAAATACGTAGAAAGGACTTTCTGCAAATGGTGTAGTTTAAGAGTTCTTACATATGACTAATTCATACTTAAAATTGTCATATTTGGAAATCAGAATCTTTTGGCACTGACGAAGGTATGTGATAAGTTTGTAGCCATCATAGTAAAATCTGTCTGTTAGACAGAAGATCTCACAAAACACTACAGGTGTACAGGATAATACTCAAGTTGGGGACAAATGGGTTTTTCATATAATTGTCACATTTCATGAAAACAAAATACTTATGGTTTAGTGTCACAGGTTGATGATATTGTGCCTCAGGTCAAGAATAAAATGATGAGCATTCTTGTAAATTAGAGAGTCTGGAGTTCAGACCTGACAAGGATATACAGTCAAATCTCGTGTTGATTATTAGTTGTTTAGAACTCACGTTCTGGTCCATTGGAATCTCTTAAATATTGATGATAGTTATATTTTGGAGGATAATTGTTGAAACATTTGTTGTTTTTCAAATTCATTTTGCAGATTTTCTTCAACCCAGGAGAATGTTTTACTAGATTCCTGTAACTTTGACACAGGTTTGACTGTATCTAGACAAAGGTCACACGAAGGAAGGCAGGTCACTGAACTAAAATAGGATGACTCTCATGTAAATCATCTTTAAACTTTAACTTCTAACTGCTTGTAAATGATAGGTACTATTCTATGTCACATTCAGGGTTTAGAGGCCATTAAACTTAATAATAGCATAGTGTTTTTTTTGGAAAAAGCAACAAATGCTGAAAAAGAACAAAAAAGTAAAATCTTTTTCTTTTTTTCTGTTGGTTTCTATTTTATGTTTGCATGCAATGTATTATTTAATAAAATGGGAATATTGATAATTCAACATTATTAATCAAAATTATAACTTCATTAAAAACAATTACTTGCCTGAATTTAATTAACTGTTAAAGACAGAACAGCGACCATTGAAACAGCATGTGTAGGAGGCTACACCCACCCACCACCCCATTATTATCAATATATTTTATACAAGTTAATAACTACACATAGATAGACGTGTCCTTTATTGTCATTGGTTGTGTGGCTGTTTCAGTGACAAACATGCTAAGGTCATTTAGTTTCATTTTTACTACAGATTTGAAAGTTATTGAGTTAATGCCAACATGGATAATTAGATTTTCAACCCCCCCCCCCAAATCATACTTATCCTTTTTTCTCCAAATACCCATAGAAAAAGAAAATCCCAGCCTGTTTGACCGTTTTGCTGGACTTAATGAAATATACATACTCTGACCTCGATCCATGTATGCTGACATGAACAGAAATATTTGAGAAGTGTAATATATGAGAAATATAATGCATCCTTTCTATACTTGATAATGGAATAATTAATGATTCAATTTTGTTTCCGATATTTCACCCAAGTTGTATATCTCCTACAATGTTTAATATTGAGTGTTATACAGCCCTGTATAACCCCCTGGGTGATATTCTCTTACCCCATCTAGAACATTCCAGGTGTCCACACATGTGTATGTTTATAACCTCTGTCTTATCTTATATGTACATGTCATGGTTGCCAGGCAACATGTCAACTGTCTGTCCAACGCTGTCCTTGATTCTGTAAGATAACCTCCCCTCTCTGCTGTGGCTGACATAGTTCATTTCTGTCTTGTTTTATCTGGAGATTTGATAAGAGCTTCAACATTCATTACACTTTGTGTCAAATGTTCCTCATTCCAGGGTCCTTCTGTAATATCATAATAATAATAATATAATAATAAATCTTGACTATGATACAAGTAGCGCTGTTGTGTTTTATTTCCATACATGTTGGGATGAGTGAGTGAGTGAGTGAGTTAAAATTTAACGTCACATCGGCAATATGGGATGACCCAATGGAAACTACATGCTCAGCCCACCCATGTAATATTCCAGCCATATGGCAGCAGTCTGCAAATAATCAAGTCTTGACCAAACAATCAAGTGATCAACAGCATGAGCATTGATTTACACAATTTGGCTACAATGACATGTGTCAACAACCAAGTCAACGAATCTGACCACCTGAATCTGTTAGTCGCCTCTTATGACAAGCATGGGTTTCTGAAGACCAGCATCTCAAGATGGAGTGAAGAACTTAAAAAACAAGAGAGTATGATTCTTCGAATTTTATACATACAAATACACAGTATATATATACATTGATACAAGGATCAAACTCTGGACACCGGATACAATTCTCTCAACGTTGGAATAATCAGACACAAACCTTATCGCATAAGATACACAATGTCCCAAACAGCAATATATAAATAAAGTGCACTCCTTTCTGTCACAACTGCTATTTTACCGATTTCTGGCACGGTCATGTTATATATTGTAATGGTCATGTGACAGCGACAACCTTTCAGTCTGTATTCCCAACAACTATCAATCACAACTTAAACAATTTGTAACCATTGGCAACCATTGGTTCTGTAGCACTTGGGTTCTGGTAGCTGTGTAAAAGTAGGCCAGTATGGTTTTACACCGCTTTTAGCAATATTCCAGCAACATCACAGCAGGGGACACCAGAAATGGGCTTCTAAATTGCACCCACAATCGAACCTGGATCTTCGGCATAACAAGCAAACGCTTTAAGCACAAGGCCACCCTACTGTCCCTGTGTCACAGTAGGAGCCCTGGACATCGTCCCTGTTGGTGATATAGTACTGTGGCTGTCTGTAGTCCATGTAACAGCATCACAGATAGTTTGAGCATGAACATTGCTTTGTGGAACTGGGTCTTAGTCTGTTCAACTAGGATACAGACATTTTAGTTTCATGATATGCATGACTGGTCTCAATGATAAACAAATTCTTATCACTTCTGTCTTCTGAATATGAAATTAAAAAAATGAAACTGTTCTGATAGGAATACTTGTGATGTTTTGCATGTTTTCATCAAAAACACATGCCACTTGTAACCAATGACAAATATTCTGTTGAGGTTGGATATGTTCTTGAACATTGACCTTGACCTCAGAGGACTATCCATAAAAAATTGTAAGGCCTGCAAAAGATACCAAAATTCCTCCTAAATTATCAATGTGATCTTCTGATGAAGGAATGAACAAAATTTTGCCATTTTATGACATGGTGATGATATAAATTATTACATACTATATGTCATGAAATCAGCAGTGAACATGTTGAAGAAATGTCGCATCATGTTGCATATAGTAATCTGTAAACACCTTGAACTTAACTAAATTTAATGCTGTGTGATTCAATAGCGATTGTCATCTTGTTTGTATAACAAACAGGAAGGAAACATGTTATTAAATGGTACGGTACTAGCCTTTCTTGATCCTTCGTTCTAAAGAAGTAACCATGACCTTCAATTTCAGCCAATCAAATTCGACCACCTCATAGTGTATATAGAAGATAAAGTGTATGATATGTAACAAGCATATGGTAGATATAACAAGTGTGGAGATGTTAGTGTTCACGATCAAACAACAAAACCAGTTTTGCTGGAGAGGACAAGAGAAAACTTTGTGTCCATACATTCACAAATGAAACACTAATGATAACATGGTATGGACAAGCTATTTCTGGGGAGGACCGTTAATATTCAGAGAGGACAGGCCTGGAATTATTGCTTCAGAGTGATTATTTTTTGGCTCAACACACAAAATCTCTATCTGAACGGGGAAGTCACGACACACTATTCTACAGATCATCCAGCATATCCAGATAATGATCTATTTGTTTTCATATGAAACATTGTACAATCATTTTTTTGCACCATTTGGGAAAGAGTATTTAAGAACAAAATTTCAAGGCCTCTCCAAGGCATCCCCTTGTTTGTGTCCATACTGGAATCTGCACTGTGGAGGATGATATCAGTAGTTACACTCTTGCCGACGTCTGTGCTAGGAGAATACTGGCAACTAAATATAACTAATAACTATAGTCCATTTGAGTCAGAAACGGACCTATGAATTGCAAATTTTATCATTGTACAAAATTGCCACATAAATATAAATACAAATGTAGTACACATGTTTATCATTGACTAATACCCAACAGCTTTCTTATATTTGAAAATTTTCCGGACTCCACCAAAAAAGTTCTTTAAAACTATCATTAAAATTTTGACACAGTTCACTATTTGTTACGAGGGAGGAGTGCAGAGAAAGGGACAGCCAGGTGTGCGAGAAAGGATGGAGACAGGCTAATGAATCAATAACTTGGTGGGCACTTGTGCACGTGCTTCTCTAACACCTGGCTGTCCCTTTCTCTGCACTCCTCCCTCGTAACAAATAGTGAACTGTGTCAAAATTTTAATGATAGTTTTAAAGAACTTTTTTGGTGGAGTCCGGAAAATTTTCAAATATAAGAAAGCTGTTGGGTATTAGTCAATGATAAACATGTGTACTATTTATATTTATGTGGCAATTTTGTACAATGATACAATTTGCAATTCATCGGTCCGTTTCTGACTCAAACGGACTGTAAGTAGTGATACGTCCATACTATAGTGCTTATACTGCAACTTAAACTGTCGGCAGGAATGGCCAAAATGTTCTGCATGACGAACTATCCTGAATTAGTGTCTTTAGCAGTCTTTTCTAACTCTCTCCTTTTAAGGATGAAATTGCACAGTATATATTTTCATATTACATATGAAATATTGATTTGTCATATTTGAATAAATCTGGGATTCAAAACATAAAACTTTCTTATTAAGTACTTAACTGGCTGACCATCAAATACTTCTGGTGTGTTTGTCATTGACTTCCTATACTGCTCAAAACGAGTGAAGGACCACCAGATTCTGTCATAGTACTACATTTGTCATGGTATGACAGAACTATGGTACTATAAAACAACTGGGATGTCCTTAACTTGTTTTGAGTAGTATAGTGTACAAGTAGTATAGTGTACAAGTAGTATAGTGTACATGTTATTACATACATATGTGATGAATAACACATGGATCATTAATATCAAAGTAGGTGAGCTATTTGTTTGTGACATGAAATGAGACTTTATTAACCGTGGTATTGTTGTGTAGTAGTGGTGTCATTTGTGTCTTTGTTGTGTTGGGTAACTTGTGGCAATGTTGTGTTTGGGCAGTCATGTCATTGATGTATTGATTTGAACACTTCAGTTATCACAATTATTCTTAGTGAGTTGTCTCTTTGCTGCATTATGGCTATGTGGCTTGTGTTGTGTTATAGTTCTGTTGTTCGTGTGATAGTTCTGTTGTTCGTGTTGTGTTATAGTTATGTTGCTTGCGTCATTCTTGAGCATAGTCACTGCATTAATTTGGACACTTATCGATGTTTTACTCATTATCAGCTGTGTCGTTGTGTCATAGCCATGTGGTTTTGTTGTGTTACAGTCGTAAGGCTTGAGTCTTTGTTGTGCTAGATTACATGAATCACTTAGAGTGAAATTATATTGTCAGCAGTGTTCTGCTACTCTACTGCTTGTAAAATACACTGATGGAGAGGTAATTCTGCTTCATGGCAAGATTGTCAGTGTATTTGAGACACATTTCCACTATGTGTGAGCGATATGGTTGAACTCTGTCACAGATCTGCTTCACTCTGTCCTGTCTGTTCATCTGTATCCCTCTGATCAGCATCACCTGTCTCAACTGTTTGTGTGGAGGTTCGTGAACTAGGTACAGCACTTGTGGATACTATCATCTGATTGGCCACCTGAACTTGAAGTGGAAGCTGACCTGTACTGCCAGTAAGAGCCTGTCTCAATGGTTCACAGACACCAGGTGTTTTACGATGCTCCTCTTGATGACTTTGAAGCAGATTTCTCTGCGTAAATTTCTTTCCACAAGCTTGACACTCAAACATTTTCCCACCATGATGTCTCTTGAGGTGAATCTTAAGTGTGCTGTTCTGGGCTGTGGCATACTCACAGAATGTACACTTGAAGGGCTTCTCACCTAGAGAGTACACCAAAGAAACTCAGAATATACCTATTTTAATAGCAGTGGACAATCCAAGTGTCCCCTCCCTATTGTAGCAGCAGAACGAAAATGTTCATGATATACATAGGAATAAAATATGACGAAATAATCAATTCATTTACATGATTAAAAAGTATTACCAAATTAATACTAGTAAATTATGTAATTTTGATCTGAATGTTAATGCAGTCCTGATGCAGATCTGTATGGATCCTTATACAGACATTAGTTTCACTCACCTGTATGGATCCTAATATGGACATTGAGGTCACTCACCTGTGTGGATTCTGATATGGACATTGAGGTCACTCACTTTCTTGGATTCTGATATGGACATTGAGGTCACTCACCTGTATGGATTCCGATATGGACATTACGGTCACTCACTTGCATGGATCCTTATATGGACATTGAGGTAACTTACCTGTATGGATCCTGATATGGACATTGAGGTCACTCACTTGTATGGATCCTTATATGGACATTGAGGTCACTCACCTGTATGGATCCTGATATGGACATTGAGGTCACTCACCTGTATGGATCCTTATATGGACATTGAGGTCACTCACCAGTATGGATCCTGATATGAACATTGAGGTCACTCACCTGTATGGATCCTGATATGGACATTGAGGTCACTCACCTGTATGGATCCTGATATGGACATTGAGGTAATATGAACATTGAGGTCACTCACCTGTATGGATCCTGATATGAACATTGAGGTCACTCACCTGTATGGATCCTGATATGGACATTGAGGTCACTCACCTGTATGGATCCTGATATGGACATTGAGGTCACTCACCTGTATGGATCCTGATATGGACATTGAGGTCACTCACCTGTATGGATCCTGATATGGACATTGAGGTCACTCACCTGTATGGATCCTGATATGGACATTGAGGTCACTCACCTGTATGGATCCTGATATGGACATTGAGGTCACTCACCTGTATGGATCCTGATATGAACATTGAGGTCACTCACCTGTATGGATCCTGATATGGACATTGAGGTCACTCACCTGTATGGATCCTGATATGGACATTGAGGTCACTCACCTGTATGGATCCTGATATGAACATTGAGGTCACTCACCTGTATGGATCCTGATATGAACATTGAGGTCACTCACCTGTATGGATCCTGATATGAACATTGAGGTCACTCACCTGTATGGATCCTGATATGAACATTGAGGTCACTCACCTGTATGGATCCTGATATGGACATTGAGGTCACTCACCTGTATGGATCCTGATATGGACATTGAGGTCACTCACCTGTATGGATCCTGATATGGACATTGAGGTCACTCACCTGTATGGATCCTGATATGGACATTGAGGTCACTCACCTGTATGGATCCTGATATGGACATTGAGGTCACTCACCAGTATGGATCCTGATATGGACATTGAGGTCACTCACCTGTATGGATCCTGATATGGACATTGAGGTCACTCACCTGTATGGATCCTGATATGGACATTGAGGTCACTCACCTGTATGGATCCTGATATGGACATTGAGGTCACGACATTGAGGTCACTCACCTGTATGGATCCTGATATGAACATTGAGGTCACTCACCTGTATGGATCCTGATATGGACATTGAGGTCACTCACCTGTATGGATCCTGATATGGACATTGAGGTCACTCACCTGTATGGATCCTGATATGAACATTGGGTCACTCACCTTATGGATCCTGATATGGAGGTCACTCACCTGTATGGATCCTGATATGAACATTGAGGTCACTCACCTGTATGGATCCTGATATGGACATTGAGGTCACTCACCTGTATGGATCCTGATATGGACATTGAGGTCACTCACCTGTATGGATCCTGATATGGACATTGAGGTCACTCACCTGTATGGATCCTGATATGGACCTTGAGGTCTCTCACCAGTATGGATCCTGATATGGACATTGAGGTCACTCACCAGTATGGATCCTGATATGAACATTGAGGTCACTCACCTGTATGGATCCTGATATGAACATTGAGGTCACTCACCTGTATGGATCCTGATATGAACATTGAGGTCACTTACCTGTATGGATCCTGATATGGACATTGAGGTCACTCACCTGTATGGATCCTGATATGGACATTGAGGTCACTCACCTGTATGGATCCTGATATGAACATTGAGGTCACTTACCAGTATGGATCCTGATATGGACCTTGAGGTCACTCACCTGTATGGATCCTGATATGGACCTTGAGGTCACTCACCAGTATGGATCATGATATGGACATTGAGGTCACTCACCAGTATGGATCCTGATATGGACCTTGAGATGAGATGGCTGCGCTCCACGGTGGAGTAGTCACACTGCTGACACTTGTACGGTTTTACACCTGTCACATCAAAGTCAAACATTTGTATTACTATTTATTCCATACAAGACATATATGACTGACTGATCATGATCATTACATCAGCATGACATGACATTTCATAAATAAGACATGTGATATGTACCTGATGAAAGAAAACAAAGGCAAGCTCAGCATTAAGATTCATCATTGTTAAGAATCTGCTGTGTTCACTCCACTATCTGTATCTGTAGGTTTACTCAGGTCTCAACAGGCAAGTTATTTACAGCTAAGTTTGTTTACTCAAGTGTTTACTAACCTGTATGTTTACTCATATGCTTCTTCAAATGAATCCTCTGATTGAAAGCATGGTCACACTGGTCACATTTGAATGGCCGAGATGTTGGGTACCGCCGTTTCTTGCCGCCACCCTTTTCTGGTGAGCCATCATTATCATTGTCCATCCCCTCGTCCTCCTGCCCGCTGTCAATATCAATCATCAACCGAGATTCCTCGTCATCCTCGGCAGGTTCTTCTTGGGAACAACCAGCATCTCCATTGTCACGAGTCTGGAGACGGAGGACCTGGGCAAGGTTGTGGGGCCCCATGACGAAGGGCGCAGTGTTGGAGCTAATGGTCATAACCCCAGACGTTCCGACCGAGAGCGTTGTCTGCTTGGGGAGGCTGTATGCCACCAAGGGATTGGACCTTATAGTATTGGATGTTCCAGCTGCAGTAGGTCTGCTGTTTGGGTTGGAGGAAGGAGAGTAGGACACCGGGATGGAGAAGGTCATCCCTCGCTGCATAAAAATTGGTCGATCCGAGTGAGTATCACTGCTCTCTGAGGAACACTGAGTGGTACCGCCACTGTCCTCCTGAGCCCTGCCCTGCCGAACCTCCACAGTCCCCCATGACTGATCACTGTCAACCTCCTCATCTCTGTCCTCATCTGATGGCTTCCCAGTCCCGTTGTCCCGGGGTCGAAAGTCAATGTATATAGCATCTCGACTCCCATTGTCGTCTCCCTCGTCCCCATCATCACCATTGTCAGACTCATTCTCTTCATCACAGTCCTTTTCGGGGTCCTCGTGTTCATCCATCATGTCCTGTTCTTCTGTCAGCTCTCTGTCACCTTCACCGCTCATATGCTCTTCCATGTGACGCTTCCGTTTCTTCGGGACAACAGCACTGCAGCATTTTTTGGGTCGCTCATGTGTGCCGGGTATGATTGTCACGCAGCATTCCTTGCTGTTACAACAGATGGTGGTGCCCCCTGCGGCCGCCAGCTTGGTACAGTTCAGCGACATGTTTGTCGTCACCGTCCCTGTCCCTTGGTTAATCTCCACCATCGTCCTCTCCTCCTTCATGTTTTCTTTGTCCTCATCTTCGGACAGGTCATCCTCCATTGCTGCATCCTTCATGTCTGTGTCCCGTTGATGTGGCTGTTGTCCCACGAGCATCCCCCGTTTGATGAAGATGTTGAGATTGTGGGAGAGCTGTACGTGGTTGAGCAGACCCCAGGCTGTCTTGAACTCCTGGGAGCAGGAGTAGCACGACAACACTGTCTCCTTTGGACCTGAAAATATGTTATGTATGGCAATATCAGTGATATATGTCATGTATACAACATCTCAATAGCAGTGTTATATGTCATGTATACAACATCTCAATAGCAGTGATATATGTCATTATAATACATGTATAGAACAAACTATATGGATAGCAACTTTGTTTTAGGTCAGTTTGTTCTATATTGTACTTTCCAACTAAAGAAGATGTATGTCATGTATACATCTCAATAGCAGTGTTACCTGTCATGTATACATCTCAATACCAGTGTTACCTGTCATGTATACAACATCTCAATACCAGTGTTATATGTCATGTATACAACATCTCAATAGCAGTGTTATATGTCATGTATACAACATCTCAATATCAGTGTTACCTGTCATGTATACATCTCAATATCAGTGTTATCTGTCATGCATACAACATCTCAATAGCAGTGATATGTAAACAACATCTCAATAGCAGTGTTATCTGTCATGTATACAACATCTCAATAGCAGTGATATATGTCATGCATACAACATCTCAATAGCAGTGTTATCTGTCATGTATACAACATCTCAATAGCAGTGATATATGTCATGTATACAACATCTCAATAGCAGTGATATATGTCATGTATACAACATCTCAATAGCAGTGATATATGTCATGTATACATCTCAATAACAGTGTTATCTGTCATGTAATCAACATCTCAATAGCAGTGATATATGTCATGTATACATCTCAAATGCAGTGTTATGTCATGTAATCAACATCTCAATAGCAGTGTTATCTGTCATGTATACAATATCTCAATAGCAGTGTTATCTGTCATGTATACAAAATATCAATAGCAATGTTATCTCTCATGTATACATCTCAATAGCAGTGTTATCTGTCATGTATACATCTCAATAGCAGTGTTACCTGTCATGTATACATCTCAATATCAGTGTTATCTGTCATGCATACAACATCTCAATAGCAGTGATATATGTCATGTATACAACATCTCAATAGCAGTGTTATCTGTCATGTAATAAACATAAAAGAAATGACTAATGCAACGTTGTTAATTAATACGGATGAAACTAAATGTTGATTATCTGCCGGATTGTTGTTGTTTGTCTACTATTTTCAAGTGCTATATTGAAGCAAATTATATATATGATTTATTATATGGTCTCAAACAACATCTCAATTGCAGTGTTATATGTCATGTAAACAACATCTCAATAGCAGTGTTATCTGTCATGTATACAACATCTCAATAGCAGTGATATATGTCATGCATACAACATCTCAATAGCAGTGTTATCTGTCATGTATACAACATCTCAATAGCAGTGATATATGTCATGTATACAACATCTCAATAGCAGTGATATATGTCATGTATACAACATCTCAATAGCAGTGTATATCTGTCATGTATACAACATCTCAATAGCAGTGATATATGTCATGTATACATCTCAATAGCAGTGTTATCTGTCATGTAATCAACATCTCAATAGCAGTGATATATGTCATGTATATATGTGATGTATACAACATCTCAATAGCAGTGATATATGTCATGTATACATCTCAATTGCAGTGTTATATGTCATGTAATCAACATCTCAATAGCAGTGTTATCTGTCATGTATACAATATCTCAATAGCAGTGTTATCTGTCATGTATACAAAATATCAATAGCAGTGTTATCTCTCATGTATACAACATCTCAATAGCAGTGTTATCTCTCATGTAAACATCTCAATAGCAGTGTTATCTGCCATGTATACAACATCTCAATAGCAGTGTTATATGTCATGTATACAACATCTCAATAGCAGTGATATATGTCATGTATACATCTCAATAGCAGTGTTATCTGTCATGTAATAAACATAAAAGAAATGACTAATGCAACGTTGTTAATTAATACGGATGAAACTAAATGTTGATTATCTGCCGGATTGTTGTTGTTTGTCTACTATTTTCAAGTGCTATATTGAAGCAAATTATATATATGATTTATTATATGGTCTCTGATTGAAGTACAGTGTTTACACTGGGTATTCAGTTTAAATTTAACAAAACAAATTAATTCATCATTTTCAGATATATGTATTTCTCTCCTAAACGAGAGTCAGAAATAAATGTGTGGCCCACGCTATAACGGGACACTGGCGATGACTAGTCCTCAGCTATCAGTCGTCACTACATGGCCACTTGCCGTCAGTTTTCAAAGTGCATCACAATATATTGTCAGTGAGGTGATAAATGACTGCTGATAATTTACATGAAGAAATGGTCTAATTGCTTCTGCAGGAAGAAGTAGATATAAACAATATTCACGAATGATACCAATATACAAGTGACATCAGTTGAAACTGTATTGATTCGGGTTCGTGAACGAAAACTGAATGAATTGGGTTACAATGCTCGCAACGAAATCGTACTGCAGCTGCAACTGTTCGGCAAGTAATGATTAAAACATGAAACTAGTTACAACAGCTGTGTAATAAATCAATTCCAGTTCGGATTCTGGATAAGAAATGCTCCCCAGTAATCCATGTTTGTTGTAAATGGTTGTTATTTCCAATGCGTTATCATACATGTTGGTGTTATGTCTACACACGTTGACCCCCAAAAACACAATTACACAATATATTTCAGCTTTGGACTAACAAGATCTATGCTTTATGGAATATAGTTCAATTTATAACTTGTGATAATTATTATTTTCGTTGCAGCAAGGGCGAAAATGAGACAGGCATTCCAGGAGATACAAACATTTACAATTATGTAAGTGCAGCTGTTAAATACCATTGTCTATAAACATGTAGATATCTTTTGGGCTTTTTATTGCAAAATTAGATTTGTACCTAACCTCCGCCTCTGACCAGTAAGTGAGATGGGGTATTCCCTGCTTGCTACATCTTTGGCATTTAACATGATTTGGGACATTACCATATCAATCATTCCCATCAAATTGTGTGTTCATGTCCAGCAAGCATGTGTCTATACAAATGTGGTAGAAGACTTCATCCACTGGTTAGTGCCACTTGGTTTGAGTAAATATCGCACATACTATACATCTTAAGTACCTGCTTATGTAACATGTGTTATATTTCGGATTACACTTTCTTAGTAAAGTACAGATTCCAGTACTTGTGTTGGGTTGAGTCCCATCCGGGATTCGAACCCCCACCCTCAGAGTCAGGCACCTAATTGCCAGCACACAAAGTCAGCAGCCTAACCCGCTCAGCCATCACAGCTTCCACTGTGCTAGCGATAAGGTGCCTGACTCTGAAGGTGTGGGTTTGAATCCGGCATAGGACTCAACCCAACAAAAGTACTAGAATCTGTACTTTACATATGATACATTTGACCATTTTCTAAATGGCATTGTGTATTCGTACCTGCCTAAGATTAATGAAAGATTTCTATATTTCAGAAAAGTGGATTACAGCAAAAGCAATAAGAAGATTCTGAGACAAACTCGAAAAGTGTACACGTTTTCTGAATAATTAATAAAAGTGTTTTTACATGTCTGCCATTAATATATCTTTTTTCGCTTTCCTTGTAAAGATTAGCTATGTCTGACTATTTGTCACAGACATGTTACATATATTGTTAAATGTTAGTGTTTTATATTTTGAACAAAAAAACAACTAATTGTTATCTTGGTTATTCTGTATGTTTGAAACATTGAAACCATGAAAATGGTATTAAAACGTTTCCGGAAAGATACAAATTCATGTCAATAAAACGTTTTCAGAAAACCTTTATGGAAAATTTTGCAAAAACATCATTGAAATGTTTTAACCAAATGTTAAGAGAAAACATTCCTGTAACATTTCTGGAACCATACAAATTCACGTGAATAAAACATTTTTTAAAAACATTTCGTGATAACATTCTACAAACATTACAGCCAAACGTTTTTGAAAATGTTTTGGGGATGTTTTTAAAAAAAAATTGTGTTAGCTGGGCATCACATATTTTTAAAGTAAGGTCGAGCTATAACACAAAGTATTAAGCATTCCAGGAGATGTTACACCATCACAGGAAATGATCACATGGTCAAATCAAAACATTTTTCAGTAGATTTCAGAAAATTATTAAAATAAACATCATTTGTACATTCCAGCGGAAATAGTTCTTAATAACTAATTTTATACTATTTTACATGGCACTGAGGCAGAGCATTGCAGTAGGGGTGAAACGGAATATCGCGGTATTATTGGAACCGAGGTATTCAGCCTTCGGTTCGGCATACCGTAATTCAATCAAAACATTTGGTATTTTAGGTTTTCATACCATCATTTCTATCTAGTCATAAAATGACATGTTTGTTCATTCAAAATAACATAGATTATGGTTATTTTTTTCCATGTTATTAAACATTGTAAGGTTTGGCTCTTGTCAATTTTCTTCATTATGGTCATATCTCATATACCAAACCAAAACGGATCGAACCGAAGGCCTTGTACCACAGTATGTATCGTACCATGGTAAGAGCGTACCATTTCGCCCCTACATTGCAGAGCTCACATTGTGAGGAAAATTGCCACTACTGACTACAAAATTGTCTGGGATTTGATGCAACATTTGACCTGCCTGTCTCCACTTCTCAAACATATCAAAAGAAATTTTCCTCGGTAGCAAGACATTTAACTACTCTTGTCTCAACAGACCAATACCAGATATGCCGGGGGCCTTGCGTGGTAGGAGATGAGGATGACAATGAACTATGAATTAAAAATATGTTACCAGTTTGCGTGATCTCCCATGACCCAAACTCCTGCTGCTGGTTGGGTGAGGAATGGTGGCTGGTGGTTCTAGCACCTGCAGCAGTAAACAGTTGTTAGCGGTCAGGCCGTGAATCAGGTACAGATTTCAATGGTCAGCAGGCAACCATTACAAGACATTCAGTATTTTACCTACTGTATTAGCATGATAAGTAGTGGACAGACAGTGAGTATGTGTAGCAACTAGTAGTCGACATGCAGTATGCTCGGCTGGTACTTTCAGTAGACTGTTCGCATGGTTGTAGGCAGCCATTATGGTCAGTAGGCTGTCTGTGTTGTCTGTAGGCAGCCAATAGTGCCAGTAGGCAGTTAGCATAGTGTCAGTGGGTAGTCATCATTGTCTGAAGGCAGTGTGCTTAGTCTTTAGACTGGTACTTAGGCCAGTAGACAGTGAGAGCATTGTCTGAAAGGCAGCCATTCTGTGGTCAGTGGACACTCTGCATGATCTCTAACAGTGTATACAGCAATATTTCAGCCATAACATGACAGCTGTATAGGACTGACCAGGCAAACCCATGACTGCAGATATGAGGAAGGATCTACCTGTAATCAACAAAGGCATAGACCTGAACCACCTTGATACACCTTGGTCACCTCCCATGACACCTTTCTCACCTGGTCCAACACAGGGTGCATTGTATGTCGGTAAGCAACAACCATCAGCTAACACTGAGTTAAGGTGTCAACTGAAAAATAGGAAAACATATCTTTACCTTGATCTTGTGTTTCCTGGAGAGGGCCAGAGTCAAGACAGTCAAGTCGTTTGTGTTGTATGAAGTTTGTAATGTTGTGGAGGGGATATTCCTTGCCACATTTCCCGCAGGTCAGGAAGTCCATCAGGTTCTCTGTCAGCAACACAGCAACATTATCAATCTCTCTTGTACATGTGAGAAACACTAACAGCAGTTGAATCTGGAAATGTTCAACTCAACACTATAGCCATTATTATGTAGTAATGACACATGATCAGTGTACTCATGATCAATTTGAAACATATTTAATACTGTCCTTTTTTCAGAGGTATTTTTAACATTATGTTGAACAATTAAAGTATTAAATCCCTGCTTCGTCATGTTGAGCGAAACTAGTCAGGAAATTAAACTTTCTGCATAATTAATATATGAAATATACCATGAAAATATTGGTAAAGTTGACATGTCTATATCATCCATATTACTCATGTTAATACCCTTGCCTGAAGAGATAATACTTTTTATACCTCCACACTGCAACAAAATGCAAACTTCAACGTATTCTTAATTTCATGTATTACTCTGAATTTGATAAAAAATAAATTTTGTTTCATAGGGAACAGGTCAAAAGGGCCAAAATTGAAAAAGTCAAAACGGCCAAAGGAAAGTCATCTCTCCTACCCTGTCCATTTGCCATTGATAATGTTGCTGTAACTGTACATATACACATGTACAGTTCCGGCCATTTAGATTACATTAGTGAAGACTGCGGTTCACATGTCAGATAACCCACTAACCTGGAACGCAAGCCGACGCTTCACTTATTCATCAGAGAGATAAAACGATATTTGACAGGAATGACAACTAACATGACGATCGACTGGCTTACATAACAACCTCATAATTATAAACACATTTCATACTAAAATATCAGTAACATTCACAGAATGACAGTTAGACTGATACTAATGTACATGTGTACTACAGAGGATCATTCGACAGAAGAGGTCAGACATGGATAGACGACATAACCAGTTTCACATTTTCTCATTCTCAAACCCGACATGACATGGTTTACAGAACATTATTCTCACTATCAATTTCTTACCGACAGTCATGTCGTTTCCTTCTTGGGGTAACATGCCGTTCGAACACCCAAAACCATGAACACTGTCATGAATACAGTTGACGTGTGATCTTGTGTCAAAAACTGGGAAATGTCTTTTTCACACTGCCCGAAACTTTAACTTTGGGGAGGTGTGCAAAATACTATGTCATGCTGTAAGGGAGGTTGTGAGACCTTTTTTTTTATAAAACAATCACACTGTTAGTTACTTAACTACATTCTGTGAAATAAGGTCAAGGTTTGATTATTGGGAAACATGGCAAGATTTTATGTCAAAATGGGAATCCAAGCATTCCCGTACCGGAAATGGTGTTCCGGGTAAAATCCGGAAAATACGTCCTATTACAGTATCGTTAGAATGTAATGCCTAATTACAGCAAACCTAAGACAACTTCAAACGTACTAGTTCTCAAATGTATAATTGATTGATATTGATCATGCAGGTCGATCCTAGCCATTTATTTAATGAGTTGGGTCACGCAAATTGATTTAATGTTTCACGTATTTATTTACTTCCGGTGAATGTAACCAAAACCCATACAGGAACCTGACATACGGAATAAGGAAAAGTGTCTCCATTGATACATACCCGAATCCTCCCCTAAACATTTCTCGGCCTCTCTTTCATTAGGAAATACATATATGATAAAGGTAACTAGTGTGCTGTTGTGAAAAATATCGATTAATAGTGTTGTGAAAAGTCATTGTAGTTGCATGACTACAGACCTACAAATATTTGAAATTATATAATGTTTTGTTTATAATCCAATGTTCAATAAAGAACATATGGAATACTCTCTAGCCCATATAGGAATGTATGGCACAATTACTTACTTGGTAGTTATCTAAATAGTTGATGCCATATACAAAATCCCGTTTATACATTATCCTGTAACAATATCATGCAAAAATATAACACAAGTAAACAGAAACCCATATTATTGTAAATGATATATTGGTGTAATGTGAATATAGTAGATTCAAACTGAGGAAAACTGCAATATATTTTGGGTAGTTTTCGCTCTTTCCTATATGGCTGAAATAATGTTGATGCGACGTAAAATCTCAACTCACACTCACGAGCTTCCGCCTGTGATAAAACATAAGTGAACGAGTGAGTGAGTTTAGTTTTACGCCGCACTCAGCAATATTCCAGCCATATGGCGGCGATCTCTAAATAATCGAGTCTGGACCAGACAATCCAATGATCATGAGCAGCTATCTGCGCAATTGGGAACCGATGGCATGTGTCAACCAAATCAGCGAGCCTGACCACCCGATCCCGTTCGTCAAGCATGGGTTACTGAAGGTTCATTCTAACCCGGACCTTCCGTGGATAAAACATAAGCATCGCGATGGTTATGTGCAATTTATCGTAATGGGCTCTATTTCATAAAGAATATTGATCAATGGGAACTTCCGTATAACATGACTATACAATAATTATCGGAGTGCGTTATGTGTGTTTTGTTTATCATGGTCCCATGGTACTAGAGTTTGATTGTAATTTATGCTCACTGCGCACAAGTTACGTATGTCACGATCAACTACTGCTTCATTTAGAGCATTGACTAGAGCAGAGAACGCAAAGACCATATGATGCTTGAAGGAACGGTCTGGCACTCTGTGTTGGTGATATACAAAACACCATCCATATAGATAGTGAGGTGAAATGGGGTCTAACGTAGTACTTGAGAATGTTTCGCTCATATGACGACGTGCATGCGTGTGTATGTGTGGCTGCTTGTACTAGCCAAGACTTAAGTTGGTTTTATAGTGCTAGCTCACTGAGATACCATACCGCAGTTAAGCATGAATACCCAACTCAGGCACATTATACTCCGAGCCGACCAGTCCTTGTTGTACCCATTAATGCCGAGTGCCAGGCAGGGGCCAACAAGTACCATATTTTAACGTCTTTTGGTATGACGCGGCCGGGCATCGAACCCGCGACCTTCCGCTCTCCGGGCGGACGCTCTAACCACTACACCACGGATGCGGTCAGTGAACAAGAAGACCCATCTGCAGCCACAAACCTGGACACACAGTTCTGCATGTGTCTATTATTTGCATGACAATTGCACCTGTTACCTTTTGTCTTTCGTCTAACAAACCCTGTGTGAGTGTGTGAGTTTAGTTTTACGCCACACTCAGCAATATTCCAGCCATATGGCGGCGGTCTGTAAATAATCGACCAAGTCAGCGAGCCATCCCGTTAGTCGCCTCTTACGACAAGCATGGGTTACTGAAGATCAAATCTAACCCGGATCTTCACGGGTCTAACAATCCAGACCCAACTATGTTGGTGGTGTGCACTAATTCACTGCCTCCTTATTCAATGCGTGCGCATGTGCGTGTGCGTGTGCGAGTATGTGCCCATTGTTTTCTGCATGGCCTGTTACATACTGTTGCTTACTGTCTTCCGTGTAAAAACATTCAGATCCACTACGTTGGTGGTGTCTATAAATTCACTGTATCCCAATTCAAGCCATATCTGCCGACGAGGTGCACCCTCCGTCTTCTCCCCTTGGACCAAGTTCGGGAAACCTGGATCGAGATCAAGAACGCGAGTCCAGATCAGCAGCGGATCCCATTAATCAAAGATGACATAACACATGGGTAGTCTACGACCTTATATCAATATTTGTTTCAAACACCATTTGTTTTCTGGTGCTGCATTAGGTTTTAACTCACTCACTCAACACCAACTGTCATTATTCTATAGATGTTACTATCGATATACACTTTCTGTATTTGTTTCAAGGTGGGGATAATATTTTAACGAATTACGTCAAATTTAAATATATTTCTTTATAAACTGTTATAATTCTAGTTAGGACCGTTCATAATGTATGTCTTGGGGTGGGTGTGGGTGGTTTAAGGGGGGTCACCCATTTTGTTCTGGGAACTGAGGGGGGTCAGCAATTTTGTACATACAAATATGTTTAAAATTATACTTAGAAATTATGGGAAGGGGATGGGGGGGCATTGATTTTGTACATGAAATGCATTGGGGGTCACTTAGTTTGTACATAGATTTGAGGGGGTCATTCACATTGTACATGCTTCTCCATAAAAATCATCATCACACAACCCCCCACCCCACCCCCAACCATAAATTATGAACGGTCCCTTAGTGAGTTAATATTTAGCGTCACATCGACAATATTCCAACCATATCGTAACGAGCATCATTAGTAATAGTTATGTTGTAAGGTTTTACCATAAAACACTTACCCAAATTGTTGTCAATGCCATAATTTCAACGAAAATGGGAGTGTGTTGTGCGGTCCAGATTTACCACATTTAAAAATGTTTGGGGCGTTCCTTCTCAAAGATGCAAGATGTTTTCATTTCAAATGAACATATTTCCTGGGGTTTTTTTTCGTTGTTTGGCTTCTTTTCCTCATCTTGTCTTTTTTGCTAAACAGCCTGAGTTGTATTTTGTTCAGCCGTTACACAATTCCGTCAAGTACCAATACAATGGCTTGTGTTGTGTATAATAGACGCACAACTGAGTAGATTTATATACCCCGCCATATGGCTGTAATATTGTGGAGTGCGGCATTGAACACCAAAATAAATATATTTTTAAAAAGTGTTTGAAAAAAGAAATAAACGAATTTACATTTGCTTCCTCGTGAAATCGAACCATGTCCTTTGCTTGTCATGAATATTGTGAGGCCTTTCAGTGATTTTACGGCAGTTTCGGAAAGTTCAAAGGGACCAATCGCGCAAAGGCCAGGGGCCCAACTCAGCCTCCACAGATTAGTTCTTTTTTGAAAACATCTGTTATAACTATCTGTTAGGAGTTTTAGCTGTAAAACAGAACACCTTGGTAACCATACCATCTCAAGTAGATATATATATATATAAATACGCATGATGACGACATAGCTGTCGTCTATGACGACACTCAGCTTTCATTGTACACCTTGAAGAGCCGTTGAACGGCGAAAGATCTTGTGCAGATATAAAGGAGATTTGACAAGAAGAAATATCTGGACTCATATTTTATATATATATCTATATATTATTTCCACAGTTGGCAGAGTATGTGTTTCCTATATGTTTTGCCATCTTCTAGTTTAAACAGTTTATGTTTTGATATCGTAAATATTTCAAAAGATATTTTCTTGTTAGTGTTAAAGAATTTGTCTGAAGACTGATATTTGTTCTATATTTTTTAAAGTTTTTATTCAGTTTCAGCGGGCTTTCAAAATAAACTCTGAGTCTTGATTCAGTTATAGTAAATAGTTTCATGTGTGGAGCGCAATAGCGCAGCGGTAAGGCGTCTGCCTATCACGCTGAAGGCCCGGGTTCGATCCCTGGGTCCCGAGGTGGGCATATTTGCGTAGCATCCTTGGATAAGATACTTAGATCCACATTGTCTCAGTTCACCCAGCTGTAAAATGGGTATCCGTGAGGATGTGCTGGCAATGTGAGTGTTTGGTTCACTGCGCCTAACAGGCAGCATGGCTGTATGATCCCCAGGGAGTTGAAAAAGTATATGAAAGTACGATAGTGCCTTATGACCGGGGATAGCAATGTGCCTAGCGCCGCAAGCAGGCAATGTGTCTCGATATGTGCGCCATATAAGCGGACTATTACTATTACATTGCTTCTGTTTATATGAGGGGCGGTGGGGTAGCCTAGTGGTTAAAGCGTTGGCTCGTCACGCCGAAGACCCGGGTTCGAATCCCCACATGGGTACATTATGTGAAGCCCATTTCTGGTGTCCCCCGCCGTGATGTTGCTGGAATATTGCTTAAAGCGGCGTAAAACTAAACTCAGTCAGTCAGTTAATATGAATATACATGCACACCATGCTCCCTGTCGTATATACACCGTTTATTATAAACCAGTCTGCACTCACTGTGTTCAGTATCAATGTATGGAGAAGGCCCAGCCAGACTGTACCAATCCTAATATTTCCTTCAATAAAATATGTTCCACAGGAAACGCACCATCTTTGACATGAACGATTGTGGAGAGAATATATACTTTTGCCAAAATTAATCCACTGTATTTCAATTGTCTTCGGTTTGGTGTCAATATCACCTAAATAGAAACAAAGCACTTGGGTGCTGTCAGGGAAGTTTATCTTTCAAATGTGAATGAGTATGGTTTTACGCCGCTTTTTTGCAATATCCCAGCAATATCACGGCATGCAGGGGACGCCAGAAATAGGCATCACACATTGTACCCGTGGGGGAAATCGAGACCGGGTCTTCGGAGTGACGAGGGAACGCTTTAACCACCAGCCGACCCACCGCCCTC